AAAAATGGTATTATTTTGTTGAAGTAAAAAATTATCTAAAAATGGATACATTGATAGGAAATTATAATTAATTTTGGTAACTATTAAGGCAAGGCATTTGTTTGTTTTTTTAAAAACATTTTTATCTGCAGACAACTTTATAAAAAAAAGAAACCCAACCGTTTAATATTATTTGATTTGGGTGTAGGGGTGTATTATTTTTTGTCGTGTCATGTGCTGATACTAAGATCATGCGGGGAAAAACAGTATTATTTTCTTTTCAGATTAAGTATGAAGTAAAAAATTATCTAAAAATGGATAAATTGATAGGAAATTATAATTAATTTTGGTAACTGCATTTTTTTTTAAATTATAAAAATAAAATTTTTATATTTCAGATTTATACAAAAAAGGAAACCCAACCGTTTGATATTATTGGGTTTGAGTGTGGGTGTATGTAATTTAATTAGTAAAACTAATACTTAGATGGTGCAAGGAAAAACGATACTATTTTGTTTTTATATTATGAGTAAGAAAAATATCTGAAAATGGATAAGAAATTATAGTGAATGGGGGATGAGGGTGGGGATAGGGGGATAAAGATTGTGGATGGATTAATTTTGACTCGACTTCGACTCATTATTTTTCAGATTTATGTTTTCAGATTTCAAAATGGATGCATGAACAACAACAAAAAAATTGTAAGGTTGTAGTAGTTGATTATGTTTTAATATTTTATTATATATTCAAAATTTTTAAAATTAGAAAGATATTTATAAACTTGAGACCACAAGGATAATAAATATCGAGTAGTATATAGTATCTATATTGTAAACTATTAAGTTAGGGTCCGGAAAAAGAGGGTGGATTCAAGGGCATATAAATTTACAGGTCCAGGGTTAAGGGGTTATTTTTTTATCTTTTATTCCTAAGTCTAACACAAATTCTTTTTTTAATTTTTTTTTATTTAATATGGAATTGTGTTTGCAAGAGAAGGGATTCTCACATACAAAAAACACTGAAATGTGTGTTTATCCGTATGTAGAGATAGGTGCACACACCCACTACTAAGTCAAATCAACCTTACTGGTGAACTATTGTATAACATCCACCCAACATTTATATTTACTTTAATACAGTATCCTTAGTCTCATCTCTTATATTGTCTTCAATAATATAAAAGGAGACTGTAGGAGCGAAACAATCATTAGGTTACAATTATTACACACATACACCCACCCACGTTCTTGATTATTATTTTTCCTCGTTTGGTATCGATGTCGAATTTCTTTTGAAATTCAAAGGGACTCTATCAAAGTACGAGAATCGTAGGTATACAATAAAACAAACATTCATTACACTTAATCCTACGGGTTGATTTATATTGTCGACAAATGTAGTGTACCGGGACTGGTTTACAGTGGATTCATTCACAGTCCTACCTTTTCTTAGGTTTTCGCTGGAGTCTGCTTAAAAGGATAGGGTAAATATCCTGTGCCATACGGGACAACTTTTTATAACAATTAATTTTTAAAGATTGAATAAATCTTTAAAGATTGTTATAGAAGGATTCTCCCCAGAAAACCAAAATTGCATGCAACTCTCTTATCTTCCTCTGGGGAAGATTTGATTTGTCTTGTCAATTAGATTAATACCCCCAACCAATACTTTTAATTTTTGAAAATATAACATATGGACCCTTACTTAGTAGGAAAACAAATTAAAATTTAGAAAGAGAGTACTAGGTATATTTTTTAGTATTGTTATCGATATACACCTCCAAATGGAAATTTTTACACAGTTAGATTTTTTAGTTAGGGGATATTATCTTTATTGGTTAATCTTTATCTAGGGGTAGAGTTATTATTCTCGATGGATTGGGGAGATCCCTCATCCATGATTAGTAACTCTCTCTAGAAACAAAAGACTGATCTTTAAGATTAAGAAAAAAAGATTTCCTTTCAGTGTCATATTATCACGCCGTTAAAGAATTATTGCATTTAGTGCTACCTAGGATAAAGGTTTGACACTGTAGTTCTTTAACAGATTCTAGTGATAATCGAGACTGTTGTATAATTTTTTTACTCCCAAATTCGTAAAACAACATTCGGTAACAATATTTTATACTCGCTTACTCTGTCTGTGTTGTGTTATAATAAGAGAATAGTATATAGCTGAGGGAAGGGTCTCGCGGCTGGGTTACCAAATAAAACCCTCAATGTAAAGTTATATACTATATTAATTCTCTCCCAGCCGTGATCGCTATAGAGTTAAAAGACCATGTTTTTATGACGACGACGGCCTATAGACGAGATAATATTTGTATAAAATATTTTAAACTTTTCCGATAATAAACATTAAAACTAATAAATAAATCTAGCTAGCAGCAACAATAATATATTGTTTTTTTTTTCTTCCTTATGTAATTAATGTAAAACTTATCTCTATATTATCCTTCGAAAAAATATATTATTGGTATCTATTAAATCAACCAGATAAAACTTACCTAATTCAGTCTATGGTGTAAAACAAAATGCAAAACAAAACATTATGCACTCCCATAGTGGTTTACACAGTTTAGGTTCGTCATTAATAGTTGAAACCTCAATTTGTTCGTCTTCATCATTATTATCCTCTCCATTGTTATAATTATCAATTTGTTCCTGCAATACTACTTTTTCTGACATTTCTGAAATTTTTCTGTGGATTGCTGTGGTTTTGTCTTGTATGTACGTTCTTTATATACAATTCCTTCCCTCTTATATAAATTACTGCCAAACTAAATGCCAAATACTTGTCAAATACTTAATTTCACTGAATGATAAACCCATTAGGTTTTCCACAACATATTTTTGGGGGGTTATAAACTCTTAAGGATGGATGACAATAAATGTTAAGAAAAACACTAACCTTTCAAGACTAACATTTATTATTTAGACTTAGTGTTAACAAAAAACATTTTTTACAAACAAAACATAATAGTTTCTTATTTACTAAACAATATCCAAGAAAGTTATATAATGTTCTTTTTTACAAAAAAAAAAAAAAACAGTCCAATGCCATTCCATTATCATATTTTAACATCCAGTTATCATATTGTAATTAGATTAAATTATATTTACTTAAAGATGAAAAATTTATTGGATTGTGATATTTTTCATCTATTATTTTAACCCTATTATCGTTATCAGAAAATGATGGAAAATATATTGGATTGTAATAGCTTTGATCTATTATTTTAACCTCTTCGTCAGGAAAATAATTGCATAAGATAAGATAATCTATAATACATCTTTTTTCTAATGGTGTATAATAAAAACTTCGAGCAATTATATGGAGAAATACATTAGCATAACATGTTATAAAAATGTCTCCGGAAAAAAGAGAATATTTTTTACTTTGACATAGTAGTAATTCACTATAAAAAGGAGCAAATATTTCATTTCCTTGTTTTGCTAAAATTTTAATATCAAATTGTAGTGTATATAATAAATTTATCAGAAATAATATTCATTAAACATTCTGTAAATGCATCATTTCTTTCCATCCATGTTGTGTGAAATCTAAAATTTTCTTGAAATTTAGATTTTATCATCGTTTTGCAAAACTTTTTCAAAAAGTATAACAATCGGTCTTTTTGTAAAGTTTTGAACTCTATTATTGAATCTAGACACCAATCATTTTGTAAAATATATGTGAGCAAAATATATATAAAATCATTTATACACAGAAACATTTTTTTTCTAATAAAAGCTATATAAAGGGAAACTTTAAATTTTCAAATTATCTTTTTATCCCTCCCTATCTCTCTCATATATTCTATACTGGTAAAAGAAATATTTTTATTTATTATAAGTGAAAAATTGAAACTTGTTAACTTTCTGAAATTTTTCTGTGGATTGCTGTGGTCTTGTCTTACTTGCACTTTAAACACACGATTAAGCTGGTTGAGTAAAGTAAAGTAGTACTTGTATGTACGTTCTTTATATACAATTCCTTCCCTCTTATATAAATTACTGTCAAACTAAATGCCAAATACTTGTCAAATACTTAATTTCACTGAATGATAAACCCATTAGGTTTTCCACAACATATTTTTGGGGGGGTTATAAACTCTTAAGGATGGATGACAATAAATGTTAAGAAAAACACTAACCTTTCAAGACTAACATTTATTATTTAGACTTAGTGTTAACAAAAAACATTTTTTACAAACAAAACATAATAGTTTCTTATTTACTAAACAATATCCAAGAAAGTTATATAATGTTCTTTTTTACAACAACAAAAAAAAAACAGTCCAATGCCATTCCATTATCATATTTTAACATCCAGTTATCATATTGTAATTAGATTAAATTATATTTACTTAAAGATGAAAAATTTATTGGATTGTGATATTTTTCATCTATTATTTTAACCCTATTATCGTTATCAGAAAATGATGGAAAATATATTGGATTGTAATAGCTTTGATCTATTATTTTAACCTCTTCGTCAGGAAAATAATTGCATAAGATAAGATAATCTATAATACATCTTTTTTCTAATGGTGTATAATAAAAACTTCGAGCAATTATATGGAGAAATACATTAGCATAACATGTTATAAAAATGTCTCCGGAAAAAAGAGAATATTTTTTACTTTGACATAGTAGTAATTCACTATAAAAAGGAGCAAATATTTCATTTCCTTGTTTTGCTAAAATTTTAATATGTATATTCACATATTTATTATACTGTGTATATACACATAATTCTAATTGAATAAATTTATCAAAAATAATATTCATTAGACATTCTGTAAATGCATCATTTCTTTCCATCCATGTTGTGTGAAATCTAAAATTAAAATTTTTTCGAAATTTTGATTTTATCGTCGTTTTGCAAAACCTTTTCAAAAACAATATGTCTTTTTGTAAAGTTTTGAACTCTATTATTGAATCTAGACACCAATCATTTTGTAAAATATATGTGAGCAAAATATATATAAAATCATTTATAAACAAAAACATTTTTTTTCTAATAAAATTTTCTGGATGGATTTTCTACTTCATTCCAGTTGATCCAAAACCATCAGCACCTCGTTCTGTGTCCACGAATTCCTGAAAAATGGATAATCATTAGTACCTTGGATCTCCATGCTTGACAACCCCACTGCACCATCCCAAAGTCTAGGCCTTAGCTCTACAGAACACTGTATATTTCTTGGTTGCTTAGTAAGTAAACCTTTTCAACTCCCGTCCCTAATACTCTTATTTTGTATTTAATTACATATATTTCTATAACTTATTTTTTTTCAAATACTCAGTCCCTATCAAACATTTCATAATGAGGAATTGTCCCCCATAAGAATTAATGCAATTAGAGTACAGTATATGTGTTTCAACATCTATTATACAATAATACTTCTTAAAATCTGTAAATCTGCTGATTGCCTTTGTAAACAAGCAACGGGAATTTAACACAACATTAACTCGCATGTGTATTTGGTGATCTACCACTATCAATTTATTGGCCATTTAATGTTGACCAGTACAGTATATTCTTTGTTACTGTTAAGACCTTTAAGGCTGGTTATTAAAATATTGGACTCAAGACACAGAAAAAGAAGATAAACTGACACAAACCTCAACTTCCTCTATATCTGGATACACGATTTTTTCACATATGAGCTGAGCTACTCGGTCACCCTTTTTTACTTCAAAATCAGTCTTGGCGTGGTTGAAGAGAACAACGCCAACATTTCCCTGGTAGTCTCGGTCAATAACACCGGCTGAAAGGGTAGCCTCAAATAAACGTGTATCTAACCTCAAGAATTTAACGTAAATGATGATAATGAGAAAGCAAGAAGTGAGATTAAGAAACATACCCAACCTCTTGAGACATGTAAGGCACTGGCCATGACAGAGTTAAATCAAGCCAATAATTTCCACAAACTTCATTTACTAAATGGAAATTAAAAGTACATACATACAGGTATACTTGACTTTCCTATAGTAAACACAAACAAGGTAAATTTTGTAATATTTAGTTTCAAAATTAGCTAGCTTAATATATGAATTAAACCAAAAATAGACATTAACCTCCAACATCAATGTGATTCTTCCAGGAAAGACCAGATCGTGGTGCCACCCTGCCATAACAATCTTCTGGTAACTCTACCTGTATGTCCGTCTTGATGAGAGCTTTGCCCTGGCCTGCAATTACTATATCATACGCACTGAAAAAGGGAAATAAGTTGCCACTCTTTAAATATTCATTCCCGTAGTTAAAGTTAAAATAACTAAATTAACATTCAAATAATCCACCAAATCAGAGCAGACTGTCTTATTGAAAAATAACAGTGGTACACACATGATGCCAAAAGCCAAGAATTAAAATGAAAAACAGCCTACAGTAAAGTACAGTACATCAATAATCATCACAGCAACTGAAGAAAATGGACATAAGATCAACAATGGTGGTTCACCCCTACCTGCTCAAGTCAAACCCGGCGGCCAGTTTTGAACCTTTACTGGGAATTAAAGCATTCCCTGACAGCTTCTTGAACCGTAGGACACTTCTGACGGTGGAAGGCATGATACTGATACTGAAGATGGTGTTACAGCAGCAGTGAGGTGGACGGGAATACAGCACACTCGGTTTCAATCCCCACATAATAACATTTAAAATCTGGTAACTAATGCTTTTGTAATAATTTAAAATCAATATAAACGAAATTAATTTTTATATATACTTATTTTGTCGTCTAATTTACAATGAGGCAAAAAAAATTCAGTGGGGTGGGAGGAGGAGTATTTACTTTATTCAGGATAATGACTGCTGCCGAATTCTTAAGAGATAGTAATTTATCGGTGTCCTTTGTTGAATATATTTTACCCTCAGGCAATTCTACCAGACTGCATTACTTAAATTCCTGCCCCACATGTTACAAAGAAAGTTCAAATAACAGGAAATTTTGACTGGTGGTGGGGCTAATTATCTTTTTCGTATTTGTGTATTAATTTTATTATTATCTAAACAGTTACTTTTTTTTTAAACGAAAATTGGTATCTTTCAGACTTTATTAAAAAAATGAACCATCCGTTTAATATTATTGGGTTTTTGTGTGGGAGTGTTAATTAATTATAAAATATTTCGTTATAATAAGTAACCTTTAACGTATTATTTAACCTTTATCTTTTTCGTATTCGTGTGATTTTTATAATGTGAACGAACTGATTGTGATTGTAATTAATTTTATTATTATTAAAATGTTAAAAATATTTAGTATTTAAATTAACAGGAAATTTTGAATGGTGGTACAAAAGACTGACTTACCTAATCCAGTCTATGGTGTAAAACAAAATGCAAAACAAAACATTATGCACTCCAAACTAAATGTAAAATACCAATTATAAACTCATTAGGTTTTCCACAACATACATCCATATTACTTAAGAATATTTTCTCTTAGAATATTTTCTTTTTACTTGGGGGATACAGAGGCAGGTGAGAGGAGGAAGGTGGTGAGGGTTACGCTACTTCCCTCAAACAACGACCTTGTCTTTAACAACCTTTACCTTTTAAAAACTAGGTAACATGTAGTTTGCTTCCTTCAAATGGGAAAAAGGAGTTGCCAATTATTCATACCCACCAACTATATATACCCCTCCCCAACATGAAGTAGCACCACACTTCCCATTAGACTGCCCACGGATAGATCGATTATTGGGTTGGGGTGTGTTAACCAAACTATTTGACAGACAGACAACAATGTTAAATAGTGACAGCGACGACAATGAAGATCCTGATACACCAGCAAATACAAGTACAAGTGAAATCAACAGAAAATTATTTGAAGAAAAATTATTTGCACAAAAATTTTGTAATAAACGGTTATTTTTTACTGATACAAAATTGAAACAATATATAGAAATAATTGAAGCAGCCAAGAATAAAATTACTACAAAGACGCCTCAAGAGTATGCTCTTATTCGCCGATACGATGTAATTTACAAATATGGTGTTAAGAAATTAATAACTAAATATTTGAAAAATGGGCAAGAAAAAGTTTTTGTTAGTGTCTGTGAAATTTATGATAATATTAAAGATTCACATCTTACTATTGGACATGGAGGGGAGAAAAGAACTTATGTAGAATTGAAGAAAAAAATTGCCAATATAACCTTAAAACAAATTAAACTCTTTATTTCATTATGTGAAACATGTCAACTAAAACGTCGTCGACGTACAAGGAAGGCAGAGGTTGTTAAACCTCTACTATCTAGCAGTTATGGATCTAGAGGTCAGATTGATTTGATAGATATGCAGAAAGAACGTTTTGAAGATTATAAATTTATTCTACATTATCAAGATCATTTAACCAAATTCTCAATTTTACGGCCATTAAAGAA